AACGAGCAAATTTAAATATGGTAAAGTTTCGCTTGTAGTGCGGTGATCGATATTGCTTTATCGTGTATGTTTTTATAGAAATAATTGTAATTATGTTTAACTGTTTAAAAGTTTTTTGTATAAGTTTTTTTTTTTTTTTATTTGCATTCACGCCCAACAAGGCTGCAAGCAACCACTATTAAGTTGGGAGTTACTAGGAAAAAAAAAAGAACAGAGTTATAGAGCAAGGAAACGGTTGACAGAAGACTTAAAAAGTTGAAGGTTGTATGAGTCAGGAAAACATGAAGATGGGAGAGAGTTCCAAAGAATTGAAGTGCGGGGAAAAAAACTAGATGAATAAAAGTTTTTAGAGCATGCAGGGACATATACAGAAAACGAATGAGACTTACCTGAATGACGAGTAAAACGAGAATGAATTTTAGTTGATGGAACTAGAGATGATAACTCCTTTGAGCAGTGACCATGATAGTATCTGTAGAAAAGAGAAAGAGATGCAACTTTACGACGATGGGAAAGAGGTTCAAGCTTAGCAGATAGTCCAGGTCCAACAACATTTACAATGCGTTTTTGGACCTTGTCAAGAAGAGAGAGTGAATCGTTAGAAGAACCAGCCCAAATATGACAACAGTATTCCATACAGGGACGAATAAGAGATTTGTAGAGGTAGAGAATGGAATCAGAAGTAAGGAAATGGCGAGCACGATAAAGAGAAGCAACCTTAGCAGAAGCTAATTTAGCAATCGATTGTATACATGGTTTCCATGAAAGGTCAGTAGTAAGCGATAATCCAAGAAGACGTAAAGAGGACGACTCAGTAAGAGGATTGCCATTCATTAATATAGGAATGTTGACCATATTACGGTAGTTGTTTGCAGTAAGCAATTGGGTTTTTTTAGAGTTGAAAGTCACAAGCCACTGTGAACCCTAATCTATTACTGAAGTCAGATCAGATTCAAGATCAGCTGCTTGTTCTAGGCGATCGAAAAGAGAAGACTTTTTGTCGAGACAGGAGTATAAAGTTGAGTCATCAGCAAAAAGAGCTACTTTAGATGAAAGGTTGTCAGGAAGATCGTTTATGTAGATAAGAAACAAAACAGAGCCCAGGATGGAACCTTGGGGAACCCCAGAAGTTACTGGAAATAAAGAAGAGTGTTGGCCTTCAAGGATGACTTTAATAAACCGGTCAGAAAGAAATGATTTGATAATCTCAAAAAATTTCCCAGAAACACCATATGAAGCAAGCTTATGGAGAAGACCAGCATGCCAAACTTTGTCAAAAGCTTTAGATATGTCGAGAGCAATAGCCCTAGCCTCACCGCCTCCATCTAATGCACGATAAAATCTTTCAGTTACAGCAGTTAGCAAGTCGGCCGTAGAGCGAGAGGATCGAAAACCGTATTGATTGTCTGACAGCAGTTTATTTGACTCAAGATGAGATGTGAGGAATTTGTTGATTAAAGACTCAAAGACCTTGCTAATAACAGAAAGAAGACCGATCGGACGATAATTGGAGGGGTCAGAATTTTCTCCAGAGCTTTTGAATATTGGAACCACAGATGCCGTTTTCCAACAAGCAGGAAAACAAGACTCAGTCAAACACTTGTTAAATAGTTTAGAGAGAATTGAAGAAAGTTCTGGAGAACAATTCTGCAAGACTGTGACAGGAATGTTGTCTGTACCACAAGCTGTAGACGAGTTTAATTGAGATATGACTTTAGCAACAGAAACCGGAGTGATTTGAATGTCTAACAATGGGTCAACCTGTTTGACTGGAATGGAAGGAAGAGAATGTCCATAAGATTCAAGAGTGGAATTAGAAGAAAAGTTATTTGCAAATAGTTCTGCCTTATCCTTGGGAGAGGTAATAAGATCAATCCCATGAATGAGAGATGGAATGTTAGATCTACCCTTGTTAATAATGCTGTTGAAGATTTTCCAAAAGTCTTTAGAGCCTAACTTCTGCGATAAGATGCGAGATTTAGTGAACTGAGAATAATGGAGTTTAGCATCAGAAAGCACCTTTTTACATCGATTTCTTGCAATAATAAATAGCCGTTTGTTCTCAAGAGAGTTGTTCTTTTGAAAAAGATGAAAAAAATGGTTACGATTGGATATAGCAGCCGCACAAGAAGGAGAAAACCATGGAGTAGAATGAGGCTTGACTTGAAACCGACGAGAAGGAATAAAAGCTTCCATTCCAGTCTGAATCCAGGAGGTTACGTAGGAGGCACATTTGTCAGCTGAGAGAGAAAAAACATCAGCCCAAGGACCATCACGAAGAAAATCACGAAAGGAATCCCAGTCAGCTTTAGGGTAGTAGTAGGTGGTGCGATGATAAGGTGAGCCCAAAAAAGAAGTACGAGAAGAAAGATTTATAGAGATCATTGCATGGTCAGAACCACCTAAGGGAGAAAAGGGAGAAACTGAACATAAGCTAGGGTCAGAGACAAGACATAAGTCAAGGAGTGAAGGTAAATGATTAGGGTTGTCAGGAAAACGAGTCACAAAGTTAACTATTTGAGTAAGAGATTGTGAAACGCAGAAGTTAAAGGCTTTAGTGCCAGCAGGATCAGTGGTGTTAGAGCCAAGCCATTCAGTGTGATGGGCATTAAAATCACCAACAACAACAATATTGGCAGAGGGGTAAAGAGAGAGGGCATGGTCAATTTGATCAGAGATAACATCTAAAAGAGTACAATCATGGGAAGAAGGAGAACGATAAAGAACAAAGAGAAAGGTGATAGAGTGAAGAGGTGCTAGGCGAAAGCACATAAAAGAATGGTCAAAGGATTCGAACCTGATTTCACGACAAATAGGGGAATTAATGCGTATGTATACCCCTAAACCTAGCATGTGACTATTGGAGTCTTTACGAATCAAAGGATAGTACCCATCAACACTGACATCTGAAGAAGGAATTGCAGAACTTAAATTTGTTTCACTGAGTGCAAGCAAGTCTAGTGAATTTTGCAGGAGGTAAGACTCAACTGATGGAAAGTTGCTTCGTAGACCGCGAATATTTGTAAAAGATAAATTAAAATATTTAGATGGTGGGGATGGTTTTTTATGTTTTAAATTTTTGGTTACTTTGATCATGATTTGGGTTTAATGAGAACTTGACTCATTCATAGATAGAGCACAGCCTCCTAATCAATGAGCTATGCAGTTGTCTCAGTCCTGTTAATTAACCCTAAGCCGTGACATAGGGCTCCTTATGTGGCCTTGACAATGCACACCAAAGTTTTTAATCATTCGAAAAAAGGATCTACTGTTAATATTGTCAGTATTGAAGCAAAAAGGTTTTTTTAAATTTATTTTTTACAGACTTGTTCTTCAGTTGAACCATGTTTAAAAAAAGTTTTAGAGTTGATGAATAAAGTTAAATGAAGAAACAGAAGCTAAATCAGCACACATTAATATTGGTCTAAATGAATAACAAAAAGTCTTATCACCATCAAAATGACAATCCAAAGTTGAAAAAAGTTGGATTGCTTCACAACCAGGAGCAGTATGTAACATGACTTTAAATGAGTTTGCAATAGCTTTAGAAAATAATGATAGTTTTGTTGTGAGTGCGATAAAACACATTAAATTCTTAAAGAAATGTGTAATATTATTATATATTACTAATATGTTGTACTAGTAATATGAAATATATTGCTAATATTTTATTTCACATTTTACTTGTAATATGAAATATATTTTTAACAATATAAATTAAGATATAAAATAAGAGTCATGATTTTTTCATTTAATTGTAAGTTTTCACTTGCGTTTCAGCATGAAGTTACAAAATTTAAATTTTAGATGTTAAGTCATCTTTTTCATCAATTTAATCTTTAGTTTAATGTTAGTGATCATATTTTTAAAATTTATTACATATAATGATTATAGGTACGTGTGTATAAATTTCAAACCATTTGTTTATATAAGTATTATATATGGTACGAAAGAGCTTTGAATTTGTAATCTAACGGCGAAAATTTTATGAAAAAAGAATAGTTACAAAAAAAGTTATGACCATTTAAGTAACTTTATTTCTTATGAAGCATTGCTGAAGAAAAATGCAACCATCGAATAAAACTCGCGTTCGGCTAACGGTAGCTTAGTAATTAGACTTCATTGTTAATTTGCGCATAGTTTTGCTTTAGTGAAATGTGCAAAACGATTTAATAACGTTATTAAAAAAATCTCGAAAATAATAAAATATTTTTAATCCTTAAAACCTAATAAAATTTATAAAAAGTTCCATATATGTATAAAAAAAAAATATCGCGTGTTTACAATATTATATATATATTTATATATATATATATATATATATATATATATATATATATATATATATATATATATATATATATATATATATATATAAAATATATATATATATTTGTTATTAAATATGTATCAAGTCTAAGTTTTCTATAGCGTATAGTTGAACTTTAAAGACATTCATAGCCTTTCCGCCCTTTATTTAGCCTTATTTTTATCGTTACTAATGAATTTCAATTACTTTGGACAAAAGTTTAGGTTTAATAAAAGTTAATGGAAATTTATTATGTCATTATATAAAGATAGATATATATATATATATATATATATATATATATATATATATAAATATATATAATAGGCAAAAGCGTGACATTTTAGTAGGGGCCAAAGCACAAAAAAAAAAAAAAAAAGAAAAAAAAAATAATAATATACATAATAATAGTTGAAATATTTTTCAACTAAAAACCTTCTTAAAAAAGGATACTACTAAACAATTAGGGGGGAAGGGAGGTCATGCCCACCACGGCTCCCCTTTTTGTTTCCTTCCGTGGGCCCATATACATATCTATCTATCTAACAATATATAAATTCCAACTGCAAAAAGCACAAATATTTTTTTTTAAACATACTTCTTTAACAATAAATTTACACTGTAATAGTTATTTTATTTGCTTAGTAATGTTTTTAACAGAATTGTGGCTTTGAAAAAAGCCTAGTTTTTGAAGTAAATAAAACTGTGACATCCATAGAAAGAGTCGAATCTTTAGTACGCGATGGAAACCACATATAATGATATCTAAAATCAAATAAACCTCTCATTTAATACAGCCATACCTATTTAATTAGGATACCCTGTGTCCCGGATAATAAATAAATATACAACTGTTATTACAGAAAAATAAAAATATATTAGATATTTAGCACAACAACTGAAAAACACATTAACAAACATAATCAATCTCTTAATAAATATGATCTAACCGATTTAATATTGAAATGAAGAAGATCAACAAACATCAAAGCAAGCGTGTAGTACTCATCATGTTGTGTAACCTTGCAATTATAGATAAGATAAAATATATATAAGATATATAAAATTAAAAAAAAAAATTAAAAATATCAAGACTTACAAGCAATTACTGTATAATAAATTAATATTTAACTGTTAATTACTGCAAAATAAATTAATATCTAACTGTAATAACATCTTACTGAATTATTAAATATAATCTTGAGGACTTTAAGACAATAGCAAATTGCAATCTTTTAGCATGCTATTAGTTAAAACCTTGCAATAACAGATAAATAAAAATACATTAGATATTTAACACATAACTGAAAAACCCATTACAAAATAGAGAAGAGGAGAATGATTTCCTATATAAAAACAAAAAACAAAATCACCTAACTCTTGATACACAACACATTTTACTATTACAAAACAGAAAAAACATTAAAAGTTGATCTTTCAATACTGTACAAAAAAGAAAAAGATACCTGTTTCAGATGTAAAGTCTTGAAACAAACCATTTTGCAGACATTCACATAATGTCAAACCAGAACACAAAAATATCTTCAATATGGAATAATTATAGATCAAAGTACCACATGTGTGAAAAAGCATATGTATTCTGTTCCCTCTATAGCATGGTAGCAATCTTCTGGGCAACTCGTGTTGGTCCAAAAAGAACCCAAAACCCTTTGGATCACTTATGAATTACATAAAGAAAGTTAGTTGGCTATTGCAAGGAGAATGTGAAATAAAAACATGCAATAATTATAATATTTATTTTAGTTTAACTCAATTAAAAACAATTTTATTCACAAACCTAAACTATATTAAAGTAAAAGAATTATAAATACCTTTTGCATCCTTGTAGCGAAGTTTGTATTGCAGAATTGTGTAGAAAATGAATTGTGTAGTGAATGAAACCAGGAACTTAACACACAAGCATGTCGTATATAAGTGTTCTAATATCTGCTGAGTAGTGTTTTTGAGTTTTGGTGTTTTGTGTTACTTGCTGAATTTCCTTCAACTCTTCCTGTAAAATCAGTATCAATGTCATTTTGCAGTACAAGAATTGCATAATTTTTTCCAGCAAGTTGTTGGTATAAAATTGTCTTTTGATAAGAAAACTTGGTTTCGATTAATGTTAACTGCTGTTTCAAACAAAAAAATTAAATCTCTTTCTCATAACCTTTTTCTGGGACTTAACTAGTCAGCTCTCTAACTGGATAGTGGTTCATGAGAAGAGGTTTCTATAGCAGGACCAGATAAAAGAGATAAGTGACCACTGTTTGATACAAATAAAACACTGATTTGTTGAAAGGGAAATGAAGAACATATAGCAATGTGAATTGAGGTTGCAATTGATTGCGATGTTTGTGCCATAGCAGATGTTATTATTTGGTATGCACAGAGCATGTTGCAGATGTCAATAAATTGTTTTGAATCTCGTGAAAAATGGTTTACAAAGTTTTTTGATGTTTTAACTAGTTGCAGAATCTAATTAGTACAAACTTTGATGTTAAAATACTTATTGATTACTTCTACAGTTACTTTATATGAATCCTTGTTAGTTGCCAATATATGCAGTAGGCGTCCGTTGCTACAACCAATATTTAAATGAGCTAGTAGTGAAAACTACAAGTTAACTAACTTTTAGCTTTACCATCAAGTAGAAATGTTTCCTTTTTAGGTCCCACGATGCACTAAATCAAACAATCATAATACAACTATTTAATTGGGTTGGCTTTTAAACACAACTAACTAATTTAAAAAATTACTGTTAACCTATAAAAAAAAGTGTAGATACATTTATTATTATTTGCATAGATAAAACATGTATATAATTCTTATGTATCATAGAGCTTAAGGTAGTTATATAGTAAATTCTGGGTATGGAAAAAAGCTGAGAAAATGCTGAGTCCCCATATAAAAGTGTCATTTAATTTTTATTTCACCATATTAAATTATCTTTAGGAGAACTTTGCTTTTAAGGCAAAGTTCTGCCAAAGATAATTTAAATTACTTACTCTTTTCACACACCGAAATTAGTTTCAAGGCAGCCTTGAAACTGATTTTGATGTGTGAAAAGAGTAAGCAATAAAAAAAAAATACAATAAATAACACAATAAATGATTATACAATTATTAAAAAAAATCAACAGTATTGTTAGTAATAAATGACTATTTTAAAAAAGTAAAACTTTTTAATGAAAGTTCTTATAAAATATTTCATTATTATGAATAGAAAAACAAGTATACTGAATGCTCACTGGCTAACACCGGCGAATTGCCCCCCCCCCCCGCCTTAAACTATGTAACAGAAGTGGAAATACATACCTCCACTGCACGATAAAATAGGTTTTCTGGTCATAAATATTTTTTAATGAAATTTGGCAGGCACATAGAAAATAGATATATACAGTTGCCTGGAAAATTTAAAAAGTGTACCAACATACCTTCAATATTAATGCACCTCCGGAACAGAAATAAAATTTTAAAAATGAATAAAAATCACTGGTAATTGTAAAAAAACAACAGAATTTAAATCAAGAAGTAACAGTAACAGTAGCAGAAACAGTTTAATAAAGTGTAACAGTAACAGTAACAGTAAAAAGGGTGGAAATTGAACCTCTACTGGATCGAAAACTACGTTATGTGGTCATGAATATTTTTAAATTATATTTTGCAGGCACATAGAAAATTGATTTATACAGTTGACTAGAAAATTTCAAAAATGTACCAACATGCCTTCCATATGAATGCACTTCCAGAAAAGAAACCAAATTTTAAATAGCAATAAAATAACTGAAAAATTTATTAACCATAAAAAAAACACATAATTTATTCAACATTAAACATTCGACTTTTTTAATAAAGTCTGAGTTGATATAAAATTTTTTAAAAAAGACAAATAAATACATTCTTACCACACCGACTTCGAGCACGCTGTGAAAAAAAAGGTTCCAGTTTTTAACTTTGAAATCGGTGCCGTAAAAAGCCAGATACCCACGTACCTACATTAAGCTTTCCAAAATTTTACACAAAAATCAATAGAAGAAGTTATATCTTCATCATTGTTGATGTCTATTTATTCTGGTCAAGTATGTGTACTTTATAAATATTATTGTGTAAATAAATTTGCAAATTTAGATTTTACTAATCAAGTATTTTTGTGTTGTGTTTTGGAGAGTGTGGTAAAAAATTTATTATTTATTATTTTTGTTTTGCAGCTCTATAGTTACAGACACAATATATATAAAGCTAGTGGAAAAGAAAAAAGTAAACATTGATTAAAATTTATATATATTATTTAAAATTTATTACAATAACACTTTATATTAAGATAAAAATTAATAGATTATAAAAGAGTCATAAGACTATTTTTGATTTGTATTTTATAGGAAACCTTAAAGACGAAGACCTAATGTATCTTTTACAGGAAGAAAAAAAAAATTATTTTTTTTTGTGCTCTTTCAAAATCATTTAATAATCATACGGTATGAAATATTAAGTTATTATTAAGTAAATAAATATATAAATAATTTAAATATACTAGAGGCTATTCTAGGAAAAAAATTTATGCAGTGTAACACTCTGTCCTGGCAAAATTTAGTGAAAATATCGCTGAATGTAGGTGTTTTTTTTTGGCAAAAAAGCCAATTTGCTATAAAAAAGTTCTCAATTTTGAATTTCTGCGCCACCCAAATAAGGTCAGTGCTGTCAAAAACGATCTAGAATAGATCGTTTTTGACAGCACTTATGTTTTCATATAGGTACTGGTAGGATCAAGAGAATGCAAAAACAATTCTCTCCTGAAATTTTTTTTTAACTTAAATTTTTTTTTCAAATTATATTTTTGAATTTAGTCTCTTTAGTTTTTGTTTTTATACCCCCTCCCCTTATCAACATTTTTAATCTTGACATTTTTCTAACAAATGACTATATATATATATATATATATATATATATATATATATATATATATATATATATATATATATATATATATATATATATATATATATATATATATATATATATAAATATATATATATATATATATATATATATATATATATATATATATATATATATATATATATATATATATATATATATATATACATATATATATATTTGGCACATTCATACACATATATATTTGACACATTCATACACATAGATTAAAAAAATCAGTGTTATATAATTATATATAAAAAAGGTTACATTTTTTATTTAGTCTAATGATTATACTTTTAAAGTATTGCTTCCTGAAGCAATACTGTATCTTTTTGCAAAGGTGCAAAGAATTTCAAGAATCAAAGTATGTTTTTAAATAAATTGTAAAATATTTATTTTATATATTCTCATTTGCAATTTTTTGTTAACAGTTGTTTGTTAATGTGTTCGTATATGATTTTTAATAATAATATTTTGGTTTGCAATTTAATATAAATTATTGCTTGTTTTAATATAAACTTGCTAATTTACAAATTCCTGCCCAACCACTAATTAGTTGATTTACGTAAGCAAAACCTGCCCAACCCCTACTTAGTTGATTTAAGTAAGCAAACTAAATCAATAACATGTAAACATATAAAATTTATTATACATTTATGAATCTATTTTGTTATAGGCTGAAGTATTGTTAAGTTCATATTCTTTGCAAAGGTATGCATTTTTTTTTTTTTAAGATTTAGATGCCCAAAGAAGTCCTTACGGTCTTATCACAGAGCACTGCGGAAAAGGAAGTTAATAGGAAGTTCACGCCTCCTTCCCAACCAATGTTGCAAAACTTGCCCAGAGGTGGGGTTTGAACCATGGATCTTAAGTCTCTGAGACAAGTACGCTACCACTGCGCCACGGCTGTTGTAATTTTTCATTTTATTTGTATAAACATTTAAGTTTATATTTATTTTAACATTTTAGCATTTTTGACCTTAGAGTTTTATTTTACAATTTTGTATTTTTATTTTATTTTTGCTAGTATTGCATAAATTAAGTGAATTTAAACAGGCAGAATTTGTACTGCAATGCTGTTCAACCTTCTAAGCGCATAAATTGGTTTAGGGCTAAAGATAGTTGATATTTAGAATAAAAATAAATTTTTTGGTTTTTTATGTGTATTTTGATTACTTTATTTATTTATTTATTTATTTTAATTTATTTTGCTATAAATATTGTTGTCCTTATTTCAGGAATAATGAACTGTTAAATAAAATCTCAGATGAAGATAATGATTTTATTTTGGGTAATAAATTATATTGTTTGTCAAGTTGAGAAGATATTTTTACAAAACCTTATAAAGCTTTCTCAAAGTTAATTAAAGGTTTTGGTAATCAGTTAAAGAAGACTTAATAATATTTGTAATAAAAAATTATTATTGTAAACTATTATTATCCTTTTTTAATAATAGTATAAATATTATTATTTTACTTTAGAAACAAATATTACATTGGAAAAAGAAAAGGTATGCATTCATTTTATTATCAATTATGTAATTACACTTAAAAAAGGTAGTATATAAATATATCATTGAATACCATTCCATGTTTTTTATAAGTAATCAATGGCTAATGATTGCCATTTAGGCATTAAACTTAAAGTACAGTAGAAAAAGTCTTATATATATATATATATATATATATATATATATATATATATATATATATATATATATATATATATATATATATATATATATATATATATATATATATAGTTTACATTTTCTGGATAATTTTTGCAAAATATTTTCTGCATAGGTTTCTAATGATTTGGTTAAGAGTTCACTCAATAGTGTTAATGTTGAAACAGAAAGGTATTTTTGATTTTTATGCAAATATAGGAACAATACATAAATAATGCATCTGCCCTTATTCTCTTTCTTAATCATTTTAATTATTTCCCCTATTAAGTAGTATAACAAATCAACCAGCAATTGGAATTGACAAGGGTACCGTTATTGATACAACCAAGGTTAGCCTTAATTTCCCTTTTTTAATATTGTGTTTAAAATAAAATTGATTTAAAGAAATAAAAAAAATTTACAGACTTGTTCTTCAGTTGTGCCTTTGTTTAAAAAAGTTGTAAAGTCGAGGAATAAAGTAAAGTGCCCTGTTTGTGGAAAGTAAGTTTCAAAATTAAAGTTTTTAATGTAAATTTTTTTATTGATATAATTTTTAACAGATTCATTAGGTTTTTTTTTTTTTTTAAAAGATTTATATTCAACTTAAAACGACACTTAATAACCAAACACAAATGGGATGAAGTTAAGGCAAAATCTGCTCGCCTTAATTTTGGGCTTAACGCAAAAAGGAAAGTTTTGACCACTACCAAAAGAAAAGCAAAGAGCAAAATTTATAAAAGACAAATTTGTCCTATGCTCCATTGCACAAAAGAGTTACTTAGACTCGGAAATCATTTGAGACAGTTCCACAAATTGTCTAATTTTGAGACAAAAAAATATTTATCTAAAAGTGTAAGTGTTCTTGAAAATTTTGAAAGTGAATCTGATGAGAAATCAAACTCCTCAAGTGACTTTAGCGATAACCCAAGTCTTGAGTGTCATTTTGATAAAGAAATTTTTGTTCAAGGTGAAAATTTTTTAGAAGTAAGTTCAAGCAGTGATGAAGACTGGTTAGCTTCAGAATATGTTCAATCTAGATTTTTGAAAAAAGGTCTGTAAATATTATGTTTTTTTCAAGTTATGCTTTTTTATTATGTTATTTTAAATTTTTTTTAAGAAGATTAATTTAAACTGTCAATTACTCTTTATTAAAAAGTTATATATTTATAATAGATGGTTCTG